CCCCCCTCGTCCCCCCCTCCCACCTCCCAGGCTGACAAACGGGCTCATCACAACGCGCTGGAGCGCAAGCGCAGAGACCACATCAAGGACAGTTTTCACAGCCTGCGGGACTCTGTCCCCTCCCTCCAGGGGGAGAAGGTGAGTTTATGGAGCGTGTTGGGTGCCTGGATGGCTGGCAACATGGATCTGCCCCCAGCAGAGCTGCCACTTCCCTGCCATTCCCTGGAGAAAGGTCGTGCGCCCTGACCCGGCCCCCAGCACCACCACCTGGTTTGGGGGGTTTTCTTTGGAAAAGGGGAGTAGGGACAAAGCCAGCCTGGGGTGGTTGGAGAACAAGGATCATGGAGTGGGTTGGGTTGGAAGGGACCTTAAAGGTCACAGAGTCCCACCCCTGCATGGGCAGGGACACCTCCCACGAGACCAGGTTGCTCCAAGCCCCATCCAACCTGGCCTGGAACACTTCCAGGGATGGGGCATCCATCTGGGCAACCTGTTCCAGTGTCTCCCCACCCTCACACCAACCAATTGTCTTCTTCCCAGCTCAGCCATGGGGCTGTTGGCACTTCTCATTCCCAGGTGACAACTTGAGATTCGGTTCACCCAGTGACGCTCTCACAGCAGAGCCAGGAAAATCCCACAGAACGGATGAAAACCCCTCAGTTCCCACCCCCTTTTTCCCTGAGCAAGGTCTTTATCTCGCCTCGTGCCTTTTCCCACTATTGCAACAGGCATCCCGGGCCCAAATCCTGGACAAAGCCACAGAGTACATCCAGTACATGCGCCGGAAAAACCACACGCACCAGCAGGACATCGACGACCTTAAGAGGCAAAACGCCCTCCTGGAGCAGCAAGGTGAGCCCGGGGGATCCCTCAGGGGTCCCCGCAATCCAGGGGATCCCTCAGGGGTCCCAGCAATCCAGGGGATCCCCCAGGGGTCCCAGCAATCCCAAGGATCCCAGCAATCCAGGGGATCCCCCAGGGGTCCCAGCAATCCCAAGGATCCCAGCAATCCAGAGGATCCCCCAGGGGTCACAGCCATCCCTCAGGGGTCCCAGCAATCCAGGGGAT